CTTGCACTTCTGAAATTTTATTTGACCTCTGTTTTTCCTTCATCATTTCTGAAAAATGACTTGCCCATCTAACATTTTGCTTAGATTTGAGTCTTATGAGTGATACAGACGAGCAGCGTCAGGATAATAATATGGCGCCCGTCCTTCTTATCTTCTAATGGTCCTCTTACGGTTGGGGACTCTGTGATGAAGAATAACATAACCGCTACTGTGGTAGCTAGGAATCTTCTCACTCCAAGGGATAACAAGATCCTTTCAGAACGGTCTGAAGAGTCGGCCATTCAAGACTCCTTGGCTTTCAGTGTTCAGTGTGCTGGCTCTGTGTCCAATATGGGCCAACGCCTACTTGCTCAAACTCGCCAAGTTGAATCATTGATGGCGGAAGTGGCAAGTCTTAAACAAGAGATCAGAGGGCTCAAGCACGAGAATAGGGTGTTACACGTGCTTGCAAATAGTTACTCTACAAGCATGAAAAGAAAGCTCGTCCAACTGCAGGGAATCCGAAAGTCGGATTTCAAAGTGATCACCAGAGGTTCGTTACTAGATTCCGAAAGCAACTGATGCCTTCCCCTTCTGGTGTTTTGCTAAGTACTGGGGTGCCACATGATCAATCTCCAGTGCCTCCCCCTTCTGGGTACTTCCGAGTACTGAGGCTTCACATGAGCAACCTTTGTGAAGGCTCCATCCTGTTTGTTTGTTTTAGCTCATGTTGTATGTATATATATCTGTAAATTTCTTGGAGATATTAATAAATAAGCTTTATTTCATTCAATGTATTGTGCCAAATACAATAAAGCATATACTTCACTAAGATGTGGTACTTCTGGACCAAATATTAATTTATCTTTACCCTCACGAAGATAAATGATTATTTCTTAGTGTCTTCATCATATGAGTATTCAACTCATAATCTTCAAATCCATATGGTTCTTTTAATATCATAAATATCATGGATAAGATTTGTGTTGGTAGATTGTTCGATCTGCAGCTCGAGACAATAATTCCTTCAAACACTTTATAATTTTTCTAGACTATTCAGAAGTCCCAAAATTTAATATCATCAACTCTTCAAGAGTTTATAATTTAATGTCAATTGACTCTTGCAAGAGATTTTAGTATGTTGCAACAATATCATAATGATAGTAACTCACTAAGGCAATTTATATCATCCATTGATATTGAGTACATAATTTATGCTTTACCCTTCGGGGCCTTACTTCAAGCAATTTGAATCATTCAAGGATTTTCTACACTTCATGACACATTTTCCTTTGGAATTTATACAGAGCAATTTGCTCCCATGTATATTTGAGGGATTTTACTTTATGGAGATATGATGTGGGTGACTCACAACCCTTCATATATAATTCTCCATTTATATGAACTCGTTTACAACCTTGTGTCATATCATGTAAGTGTATTACACTGTATTACAAATGCCCATATATAATCTCCTTGGTTCAACATCTTTTGGCTATTTGTATTGTATTCAAATATATATAGGTTCATTTGCCCACGTTCTTACAAAATTATAATGGAATTGCCTTTCTCCATTTTGGCCAATAATTTTCCTTTTGTCGACGAACAAAAGAACGTGACTCAATATTAACACAGCTCATTGATGAATTTAGTAGCTACTTGTAAAAACCAAAATTACCATTGGTTATCATCAATCCGTGATCCCATATTCTCATGTGCATGCGCATGCATAAAAGCTTTTCATTTCTTTGGATATCCATTGCCTCTTCAAGGGCATTACACTATCTCTTTCCAGGATAGTCATAGTTTAGAGAATGCGGATCATAACCTCTTCTTGAGCGTTATAGAGCTTGGATTTTAATCTCCACTTCCAAGAGTTGAGTCATTTTAGAACCTATACGTCAATCATGCTTCATGCATGAGACATCAATATTCCCATGTCTTGTGGATTGTCCTATCTGGGACGTGTATCCACGCGGCGACTGTCATGCTTCTGGCATGCAAACAGTTATGCTTCGGGAATGCAATAGTTCAGTAGTGTGCCATATTATTCTTCTTTCGAATAACTGAACCTTTTGAGTCTAAAAATCTGCCACGCTTCAGGCGTGCAACAGATAAATCATTTACTGTCTCATTATTTTATTATCCAACAGAGACATCAATTCTTGTAGGCACATTTGCAGTAAGTATATATGATTTTCATCACTTTCGTTGCATCATTCAATTATTCATATTTCATTTTCTTCTTATTGATTGCTTCGTGAATCAAAATAAGACAAATTCTCTTCGTTCTTCTGGAACAGTCTTTTCTCATCATTCTTTTGGAATGATATTTTCTCATCGTTCTTCTGGAACAATATTATTTTTCTCCCCTAATGGCAGGAAAATTGTCTTATCAAAATGACAGTCCGCAAACCATGCGGTAAACATATCCCCAATCAAGAATTCCAAATATTGAATGATAGATGGTGTTCAACATCAATACCTAATCTGCAATGATGCCTCATTTCAGTACGTTGTGGCAGTCTTACAGGCACATAGACAACACAACCAAAAACTCGTAAATGTATAATGTTTGGTTGGTTCCAAACCCGAGTTGTAACTGAGAAGTATTGATGGTCCGGTAACATGTCTCAACCGAATTAATAATGCATCATGGTAAAGTTTACATGTCCTCATGTAGAAAATTGGCAATTTCGTTTTCATGAGCAGAGCGCGGGAAATCAATTTCATTCGCTTAATAAAGGCTTCTGCTAAACCATTTGAGTATGGACATAAGGAACTTCTGGTCCTTATTTAATAGTCTGTAAACTGAGACTCTTATGGCTTTTATTACAATTAAGTTAAAGCACTGCGGCACTTCAAACTTATGGTACTCATCTAGAAACTTCATGTCCTGATCTTCAGGATCAAGGGACTTCATGCTAGATCCTTTTGTATGATGGAACTTCGGGTCCAATCATTTTAATGATGAGGATCAAGAAACTGCAGGTTCTGATCTGATCAAGGAACTTCAGGTCCTGTATATACTCATAGTAACAAAAAAGATAAGTACAATAAATAAATTAAAGCAATAGACGGTAATTCCAGCCATAATGAATAAATTGCATTTAAAGTAAATAAAATTTGTGACAAGGGCTTTAATTCAGCACCATCAAAACTTAAAGCAATAGGCGGTAAAACCGTCCATGGTAAATAAATTGCTTTAAAGTAAATAAAGCTTGTGACAAGGGCTTTGATTCAGCACCATTCACATAAATATCAAAGCTTTAAAGCAAAGGGTAATAATTCTACCCACTATAAATAAATTGCTTTAAATAAATAGAACTTGTGACATGGGCTTTAAACCAACACCATGCACATAAAATAAATATATAATTTTATTATTTTCTTTTCATAATGGTGATGGTCTCATCAACTTCCTACTATCAACTTTATTATTATTTTTATTATTTCTTCCCTTCACTTCTGTCGGGGCACCCATCCAAATTGTCCTTATTTTATTAATGTTTTCATTTCACAACAACAAAGTCCTTTTAGTTACTCAGGAAGTAAAAGTAACAATAAGTTCCAATTGGTGTGTTCCTCCTCCGGTGAGTTTCGAAAAAGTCGAAAACGGTTCCCATAAGTTTTGGAGTCAAGAGTGTCTCTGCAACTTATGAGAAGATCAAACCGTTAGATTTAGTTCAAAATTTAGTATGATATGGATAAGAGGATACCAAACAACTTTCGTGAAGAAACAATTTCGATTTGAGCTACAGAAATAGAGTTATGGTACTCATAAGGTGGCTGTCCAGTTTTCTGCGGAAATTGGAAACTGTTTAGTATTTCAGACATCTGCAACGATCGCACCGTTAAAGTTTTCTGAAATTTTGATATGTTGTAGATACTGAGTGGACGAACAACTTTCAAGAAGAAAGTATTTTAATCCGAGGTCCGCAAGTTGGAGTTCAGAGGCTGTTTACATGGCTGTCAAATTCTTTACGAATTTTGAGTATGTACTCTTTTGCTTCTGCAAAGGATGATATACAGTCATACAACAATATATATAGTTGCTTCAAGAAAATCAATTGTACTGAGATTTGAAGATGAAATGAAAATTGTTTCTTATCTGTGAGATTCCAGCTGAAGGATGTGAGAGGTAAGTAGTGCTTTCCACCGACATGAGAGCTTCTCGTGCTGATAACGTGTTGTGAAATCGACTGTGGGTGCAGTGGAATAAATGAAACAAGACACAAAATTTACGAGGTTCCTCTACAGTCAGTGTGACTGGAGTACGTCCTCGGGGCAGCAGTGGTGCTTTCATTATAATTTGAAATAATAGGAGTACAAAGATAACTCTCTCTATTATCTCCTCTTATCTTCTTCTATTTTCTCTCTTCCTCTTCCTTCTCTCTCTTCCTCTTCCTTCCTTCCTCTCTTTCTTTCCCGTGAACCCTTCACATCTATCTATCCCTTTGTTGTGTTTCATAAGGCTTGTTTTATACAAGTAAATCACATGCTAAATAGTGGAAGGGCAACTTGCCCATTATTTGAGTGGACATCCATTTCTACAACATGACCTACTAATAAAGTTGAAATACAAATATGGATAATCGAACAAATAAACAATTGTCGGTTTATTCAATCTTTTATAGAGATAAACCTTGAAAGAAAATACAAAAATTGAATGATTCAGATTGTTGAATCCACTAAAAGAAAGTGTCCTTAACAAAGTTAGTAATGTAGAATGAATGTAGTCACATCTCCCATGGTGCTGTATAGCATCAATATTCCGAGATAAAACATGTAAAATTGCAGAGGGTAATTCTGCACAGAGCGGACAAGGACGACTCTGTTGGTTGGGTCTTGGACTCTTGACCATGCCAATGTGCTGTGCGCATAGAGAAAAGGACAATGCTATCCCTCCTTCCAACTTCCCTAGGCAAACGTATTGGATGCTCTGCTTTGACAGCTTCTTGCCAAATTTTCGTTGCTTTTTGTACTCTTTATTGGGCATCTTCGTCTTTTCGCTTTGTTTTTCGTACTATTACTACCACAGTACCTCTTCGCTCCAAGAAGTAAAACTAGAGAGAGAGAGAGAGAGAGAGAGAGAGAGATTTGATGCTCTGCAACTACAACAATGTTGAAAAAGATGGTGTTCTTCTTTCATCTTCTTTTTCTCCTTTCGTTTTTTGTTTCTGGTAAGCAGAAGCTTCAAAAACTTCAAAAAATCTCTCATTGTGTTATTTAATTCTTGGTTTTTGTTTTTAATTTTTAATTTTTCTGAAAAAACTCTGGGTTTTTGTTTTCTGTGCAGGTGAAAGGCAAGACTCCATTGTTTCTGTAAAATCTGGAGATCTCAGTGAGGTGGCAAGCAGCATTTTGAAGGCAGAAACTTGGCTTAAAACCCACGTCCTCGCTCACTACCCTTCCATCTCCATCACCGCCATTGTCGTCGGCGGTGGTGGTGGCCCTCTTCTCTGCCGGAAAGAGCAAGAAAACACTCTCGCTCTCGTCCTCCCAGCCCTCAAGAACTTGCACCACTCCCTCACACGGTGGGGCCTCCAGGAACACATCAAACTCTCAGCCACCTTCGCTCCTTCTTGTTTCGACAGAAGCTCCTATATTTTTGGGAAATTTATTAGGCCTGTCCTAGATTTTATCAAGGGCGCATCTCCAACGTTTGTGTCTTCTCACTCCGAAAGCCTTGAAGATTTTATCGGCGTTAGCTTTAACTCCGACGATGTTCCTGTCGTTCTCGACAACCCGGGAGAGAGAAAACCCAGCGGCAGAAAGCTCTCTGCCGACCCCTTTCCGGCGAGACCGACTCCGTTGCCTGAAATCTCGGAAACCCCGCTTCACTCTTCCGTTGGTTTCTCAGTCCCCGCCAATGTGGCTAAAAACCCTCATCCTCCACAGCCCCAAACGGCCTCTCCGCCACTCCAAGTGCCTTCCCCACAACCCCGAACCGCCTTTCCTCCGCCGCCACTAATGCCTTCCCCGGAGGCACAAGCAGCCTCACCACCACCACCGCAAATAGCCTCTCCACCAGATATGTCTTTCTCCTCAGCCCCCGAAAACCCTCCTTTTGTTGATGAATCCCCTCCTCCTCCGCCTTCCCCTGCCACATTTCCACCCTGCCGCAATCCGATTCCGACACATGTGCCGCCTCCTGCCCTGGCCCCTCAGATGGCGGTGCACAAGCTGTGGTGTGTGGCCAAGCCTACCGTTCCTTCAGACACTCTGCAGGTGGCAATGGACTTTGCCTGCGGAGACGGCAATGCTGACTGCAAGGAGATCATGCCAGATGGCAACTGCTACAACCCTGATTCTGTTGTGGCACATGCTTCCTATGCCTTCAACAGCTACTGGCAGAAGAACAAGAGGACCGGAGGGACTTGCAGCTTCGATGGCACTGCAATGCTGATCAACAATGATCCAAGTAAAAAAAGTCTTCCAGTTTTTGAATTTTGATTAGTTTGCCAATGTTCCTCTTCTGCAAGATTGTTGATATGGAGTTTTGTTTTTCGATTGCAGGTTATCTTCAATGTCGCTTCGTTCTCACCTGAATGCGTTCGGAGCGGAAACTGAGACTGGTGGCTGTTGTTCTATGACGGGGTTTTGAATTTTTGGGAAATCGTATTCTGAGGTGACCTTGTAATTTTGCAGCCATCAGTTTTTGTTACTAGTTTACTTTAGCATTATTTAGTTCTAAGTAGTTATATCTGGTTTCTTTTGATATGTAATCCTCCCCTTTTAAGTGCGAGGATCCGAAAGACAAGTGCTAATTCCGAAAGAAATCTTGCGGATTTCTGTTGTTCGACTTTGTATGGAGTGATTTATTTCTCACGAAAATTCTACAACGCTATAGTGCATGGAATGTGCATCAGTGTGTTGGACGGTTGGATTTTGAAATTTCCAATCTGGATGTTCAAACAGCTGTGCACCCCCGTACGCCATAACAGTGCACATCAATTCTTTCATCTTGTATAAGCCAAGTGCAATCCTTTACATGATCAAACGTTGATCGAAACTTCCCTTAAGTAGTAAAAGGGTACAATATTCAAAATTATATGTAGAGTCATTCGACAATGAGAAACACAACTTGAAGTCATCGGCAATCCTCATCGTTACTTGTTTTGGCTATGGCTAATGCTGTGGAACTTCCAATTTCACCATCATCTGAAACCTTACCACGATCTTCATTCTGCAAAAGCGCACACAAATCAGACGAACCAAAAGTTAAGAAGAACTTCATAAATTGAAGTAACAGCCAGGATTGAAAAAAACAAACAAACTAATGGTCTAAATGCCTAAATACAAGAACAAAACTGCGGGTTCTTTTCTCACCAACCATGTATAATCATGGACCGAATTTTACCAACGTTTAATTATACGCATCAAAGGTTGCTGCTAGTCAGATTCATCATACTTTTTCCTTCCTATATCAGTTATTTCTCACTCCAAAGTGTTTCTTTTATATATTTGTACTTCATTTCAATGCATTCTTATAATCCCCAAAGGAAAAAAAAAAAATAGTTAAATTTGTCAAGTCGCTCTTTGATATGTAAGAAACTTCAGCATCAAACAGATTTCCACTTAAATAATTGTGATCACTCTCCAGACAGCAATGTGTAACCAGAGGCTATCGCCATGGTTAATTCACGGAATAGGCACATGATAGCCCTTCCTTTTTTCACCCTTTTTACAGGCTCCTTGGTTATGAAAATATAAAACATAATTATGCAAACAGTTCAGAAAACTTAAAATGATAGGTCCAGATTCCAGAACTACACAACCCATGTAAGCAGAAGCATACAACGAGAGAACTAAGAAAGAATTGTACCTTTTTCACTTTACCATGAGCTGACATAATCTCATAAAACTTACGCATCAGCATTTCCTCTTCTACCTGCAGATTGAACAGCACACTAAATTAGAACCATCTAGAATCTGCAGATTGCACATCATAATTTCCTATATGAACAAACAACCTTCAGTTGATGCAATTCCTCAGACATTGATATTTTGGCTTCTGTGAGGAGCTCGTTTTGCTTCTCCAAATGCCTATACACCAAAAATAAACCAAAATGAACTTACAAAAAACAAAAGATAACGTATCAAAATTAAATTTCATACGAAGAAAATTGGTTGAAAATCTTACTTCAATATCTCTCCTGTGTATCTAGGGTCCATGTTAATAATCTGAAACACTAGCTGTTGATGTGAGCTCAGGATTAGGATCCTTGGGGTACGTTTGTCTAGTGTTATGTTGGACTCAGTCAAGGTATTTCCGCTCTGTCCTGCAAATATCAATTAAAGCAAAGAAAAGAGAATCAGAGATGGATTCAAACCGAATTCAAGCATAAAATCCAGCAGTAACACAAAAGAAAAAAACTATAACACCATTTCACAAGCTGACAGTGGCTTAAATAATTATAATGAATTTACAACCCAAATCTACACAATAAGCCAAATGTATACCACAAAGGAGCGGAGCCAGCCTGCAGTACAGAAAGATGCAAAACAAAATAATGAAAGAAAAGAAACCAAACAATACCGTTCACCAATATGAAAGTCTGTTCAATATCTATAGTGATTTAAGTGTCGAATTCTAAAGCTGTGAGAAACAGAAGAAGATATAATGCCAGAGTGCATTCAAAATCTGTACAATAATTTTCTAGCCATCTGATTCGTGTATCAGCGTATGTATTTTGATTTCAACTGAAAATTTAACACGACCATACAACTGCATGCTCCAACTATTTTAGTAGTAAAACTAGGAAATTCCTAATTCTTACTGCTAGGGTATGCTTCCATACATTTATGGTTCCCTATTCTGACTTACCATGAAGAATTATGAGCCGCTAAGGTTACCTTGATGGTAGAAGATGAAGAAATTCATGAGCTACCGGAATATAAGCAGGAGGGGTTTGTTTAACAAGATGAAAATCATTTTTTTTTTTTTTTTGTCAAATCTGAGAAAGTCTGGGCTGATTGATTGACAAGAGAGCAAGCAGAAAGTCGAGATCCAAAAACATGAACCAAATCTACCAATCCGCCATTAAAAGCTGTGAAATTGAGGAAAAACATACAGTGGAGCAAAACCTAATTTGAGAATGAGATTGCATGAGGGGAAGAGATTGAATTACAGCGGTCCGGAAGCTTTCAGAACAAGCAGAGATGAGAAAGAAGAGCAACGTTGAAAAGTTTTTAATTTTTATTTATTAGAAGTTTACGAATAAAACAAATGGTTAAATGGATAGCCGCGATTAACACCTATAATCAGTAATCACCCAGTTATATTTTACGGGAAACAGTTTTAGTCATAATCATGTATTTGTTTAAACGATTATCTATAACTGTAACCATAAGTTTAAATGGACGAATAACCGTGGGTACCACTAGCGGAGTTGTATTTCCCACCCTAGGCTAGAGGAAATATAGCCTCCTTGAAGATGAGGGGTTCGACTTGGAAAACTTTGGATCCATATTTAGCAGGGAAATATGGCTCATAACATAGTTAAGCTCAAGGGATTGAAACAAAAAGACCCTTACTACATCCGAATTTAAGCTCGATTCTCAGAACCAATTCATCAAATCAAATATTACACTTTCAAGTGCAGCAAGTTTACAGTTCATATCAAATTTCCTTCTGCAAGATTTCAGTTCGCATCCAAAGTTTCATAATTCAAACACGAAAATAATTAAGGTATCTGCCATATGAGCGTTCGTCCTAAAAGAACACGGGATAATCAAAGTTATCAAATTGCATACGTTGATAGAGAAAACAATGAAAACTTAGCACAACTTTGAAGGTTTTATATAAACCCTAAACCGTCAAGAAACAGGTACGATACCAAAATTTGCACCGAAAATTTAAAACAAAAGAAAAATGGAAAATTTTCATGAATCCTGAAACTTACCAGCGGATGGCGACGACAATGCAACTCGACGGCGGCTCAAGAGTGTTGACGAAACCGCGGGAAGGCCTTCGACTGCGTTTATCAGAGGGAACGCTTGACGGTTGAGAAGGTATTGGGCTTACAAAATAGGGCCTTGTCGTACTTAGTTGATTGCGAAAGAGGGCCTTTTTGTTGAGGTGAACAACTCGGCCCAAACCAAGCATGAGCACGAAAAATATAATCTTGTACAAGAATATCATGCGGCGCATGCTATACGACGCACCGTGTATCGTTTCTAATTTTTTTAGGAAAACTAATGAAAATGTCTTCAAAAACTTGAGTTTTAACAAAAAACCACTCACTAACTTTATTTAATGATAAAAACTAGAGAAAGAAAAAAAATAATAAAATACCTAGCAAAAGCACGTGCACGCCCTGCACCTTTGTCAATACATGATCCACCACATACAGAGAAGAACAATATGAGGAAGGATTTTTTCAAACTGTTAGTTGGTAGTCTTTTTCCAATCAAAGGTCCATCTCTCTTCAAATCTCTTAGAATTCAACTCTATTTCAATCTCCAATTTCCGAACATCCAAACAGACCTCAAAGTCCTATTGATTTAAGCAAATGAAGTTGAAGATCAACAAAGCCTGCAATTTCCATACACCTGTGTCAATATGTGATCCACCATCGTGACGACAACGATGATGATCTTCTTGCTCATCAAACTGATCTGAAGGGATAGACCCTATCAATCACATCCCCTTGTTGTAGTTAAACATTATCATCTTGTGTTGGTGGGGTATTGGGGTAGTGCTAGTAAACTCTTGTGATGTCCTCCTCCTCCTGCATGATTTAATAAGATTTTCCTGCTCCCAACTCCAACGGCCTTGTTGATGGTATGATGGAAATTATGATCCCAAAAGGAAAGTTGTTGATGCTGCTCACCTTCAACTTCTTTTCTGTGGCAGTTGCAGGCATAGCGGTTGAGGCCTTTGAGGGCTTTGATTGTGCCCTCTTCTCCATTGGGCATGAATTAGCCACAACCATCCGTAGCAGTCCCTCCTATGACTGCTGCATGGTTCTTGAGGCACTCCTTGTACCTCACCCCATTGTGCCCAACTTTTTTTATTATTAAAAGTGTTGTGTTTGTAGGGCACAACATTTGCATTTGGTGGAGGAGAAGAGAAAGCTGCATATGGGGGGACAATAGAAGAAAATTAAGTAATTGGTGTAGAAAGTTAAGAAATTGAAGAGATAATTTGATGAGTATTGAAGAAAATTAGAAGAAGAAAATGTGTTTGGAAGGTGAAAATGTGCCAAGAAAATTCAAGAAGAAAAGAGAGAAGAATGTAGTACCATTAAGTTTCATAAACAGTGTCGTAAGTTTTTATAAACAGTGTAGTAAGTTTCATAAATAGTGCCTTAAGTTTCATAAACAGTTTGTGTAAGGACGCGTGGGTCCACGCGTCAGTTTTTTTTTTAAATATTAAAATTATGTCTTTTCATTAAAATTTAAGTTCTTTTGTCATTTTTATTAAAATTTAAGGATTTTTCATTAAAATTTAAGTCTTTTTAATTAAATAAAGTTACATCATGGTTTTTTTATTAAAATAAACTTAGCCCAAGCCTTTTTCATGAAAGTTCCCTTTAAAAAAAAGATTTGTTAGATTAGGGAGGGTCATGGTGCAAAGGCAACAATACTTTCCACAACTCTGGTAGAGGGCCACTTGCCCGTGTATCTTTTCGATTAAGTACAAATAAAACCAACACGCTTTTTGCTCTCGTTCATTCTGATATTGGGGACATTTTCCTATACCTACTGCTTTTGGGTTTTGATGGTTTGTGACGTTCGTGGATGGTTGCACACTGATGACATGGTTATACGTGTTGCAAACCAAGAATAAGGTCTTTATTTATTTTATTTATTATTTTTTATAATAAAAAGGGGACCAACTGGTGGCTTCGCCACGATAGTCCATCCTTCAGGGGCCGGGATGATCACAAAAGCATTTCAGCCTCCCCCTGACCACCATCGTGTGATTCATCAGTGCCAAGAATAAACATATTTAAGGTGTTGCATAATTTTTGTAAAATGATTCAGACTCAGTTTTCTACTACAACAAGAGTCTTGCATTCTGATAATGGTGGAGAGTATGTAAATCATGATTTTTCTTGAAATTGCACATTCTTCACTTGTTGTGCTTCTTGTAGTTATTGGAATGATAATATCGTTACTGTTGTTTATTTGTTGAATCCCTCTAACACTACTACAAAAAACACTTTGCGCGACAGAATAAATCTGTTGCGCAAAGTATGATTTCGTTGCTCAAAACCTTGCACGATGAAAATTTTGTCGCTTTCGTCGCACAAAGCTTGTGACAATAGGGTTTGCATGACAAAAATTAATCTTCGTCGTGCGAAGGTACTTTGCGCGACAAAATATTTCGTTGCACAAAGATTTTTGGTTTTTAATTTTTTAATTAAATTAATTTAATATTTTGCACGACAAAATATTTTGATGGGCGATGTTTTTGACTTTTTTATTTTTTTAATTTAATTATATTAATTGTTTGCGCGACGAAATATTTAGTAGCTCAAGATCTTTCAAATTTTTACTTTTTTTAATTTAATTTAATTGTATGACTTTATTTTTTTAATAACTTTAATTTAAATTGATATATTCAAAATAAAATTACATATGAAAAATAGTGATCAAATTATCCAATATATATAATATATTTAAAATGTACACATAAATTAAGAAAGTACAATAATAAAATCCTATACAAGTCTATTGTGGTGGTAGTGGCAGGGGATATGGTCCGATAATATCATAATCCTCAACTTTCACTGTCAAAGTCTCGATAATTCCCTACAAACAAAACAAACATGGTCAAATAACAAAAAAACAACATAAAATAATACCAAAAAATGGGCATAATCTCCCCTAAAATTGGCATACCCCAAACTCCACCCCACACCAAACCCAATTAATTAACTCCAAAAACACATATTAATGAAAAAAATTTAAAATTTGGGAAGAAAATACCTTTTAGCAAGATTGAGAGTGAGTGAGAATGAGAGGGATGAGTGAGTGTGAGAGAGTTAGAGGAGATAGTGAGAGAGATGAGATAGTGAGTGAGAGTGAGAGATAGAGAAGAGATAGAGATGAGATAGTGCGTCCCATTTTTGGCGCCCGCCCAAATTTTTAGGGTTTTGCGTGATGAAGTGTTGGTCGCGCAAAGTCTTTAAAAATATTTATAAAAAAAAAATCCCGCCTTCCATTTTTGGCTTTAGGCGACGAAATACTTGGATTTCGTCGTGCAAAGGTTTTAAAAAAATAAATTTTTATTTTTGTAAAGGCTGTGCGCGACGAAGTTTAAAATTTTATGGCGTAAAGTAACTTGACGCGATGATGTTTGTTTTGTCGCAGTGTAAAGTGCTTTGAGTGACGATGTAACATCCCACATCGCCCAGGGGAGTGGATCATCTAAGCCTTATATGTATATTCGCATCTCTACCTAGCACGAGGCCTTTTGGGTGCTCACTAGCTTCGGGTTCAATCGGAACTCCGAAGTTAAGCGAGTTCGCGCGAGAGTAATCCCATGATGGGTGACCCATTAGGAAGTGCTCGCGTGAGTTCCCAGAAACAAAACCATGAGGGCGTGGTCGGGGCCTAAAACGGATAATATCATGCTGCGGCGGAGTCCCATGATGGGTGACCCACTGGGAAGTTCTGCTCACGTGAGTTCCCAGAAATAAAACTGTGAGGGCGTGGTCAGGGCCCAAAGCGGACAATATCGTGCTACGGTAGAGTTGAGCCCGGGACGTGGTGGAGCCCGGGTCAGGATGTGACAACGATGTGTGTTTCGTTGCACAAGGTTTTTTTTTTTTACTAGTGTAAGGTCTTGAAAATTCTAGCCTCCATTGAAGATTATTTCTACTTATGGCCCCTTGCCATATGATTTATTGCTTTCTCCATGAATTGTTAGATGTTTTGCTTATGTTCATTTCCATAAAAATCAACAAACCAAACTTGACTCTTATGCAACATAAAGAGACTGTTTTTCAAGGGCATGTATTGTAAGTGAGAGTTTGATACCAATTTATTCCCTACACCCATTAGTGTAATATATCGTTGTGTAAAAACAGTCACATCATTTCAATTTGGATTAAATAGTCATAATCTTAATTAAGAATAGTCACAACTCAAACAACAATTTTTATTTGAATACATAATTTAATTCCTAAATGAATTAATAGGTTAAGTTATGAAAAAACAGAGTGCCAAGAGGCACAATGGTGTTGTAAAAGTTGTGGGAATGAATGCCCACATGTTTTAGCTAAAGATGAAAAGTGAGGAAGACTTAAGAATAGTAGCATTGTTGTTGTTGTATGATATTTTTTAAGATGCACTCATT